CGCACACCCAGATCTTAATGCCGGTCGATGGCTGGGCAGCTAGCATCAGGGTGGAGCAAGCCAGAGGCCATGTGACCAAGCTAAACACATAGCAACGGGTGTTCCACGCCTGTGACCTTGAGGTTTCGAGTCGAGAAACGAGACGCGCACACCCAGATCTTAATGCCGGTCGATGGCTGGGCAGCTAGCATCAGGGTGGAGCAAGCCAGAGGCCATGTGACCAAGCTAAACACATAGCAACGGGTGTTCCACGCCTGTGACCTTGAGGTTTCGAGTCGAGAAACGAGACGCGCACACCCAGATCTTAATGCCGGTCGATGGCTGGGCAGCTAGCATCAGGGTGGAGCAAGCCAGAGGCCATGTGACCAAGCTAAACACATAGCAACGGGTGTTCCACGCCTGTGACCTTGAGGTTTCGAGTCGAGAAACGAGACGCGCACACCCAGATCTTAATGCCGGTCGATGGCTGGGCAGCTAGCATCAGGGTGGAGCAAGCCAGAGGCCATGTGACCAAGCTAAACACATAGCAACGGGTGTTCCACGCCTGTGACCTTGAGGTTTCGAGTCGAGAAACGAGACGCGCACACCCAGATCTTAATGCCGGTCGATGGCTGGGCAGCTAGCATCAGGGTGGAGCAAGCCAGAGGCCATGTGACCAAGCTAAACACATAGCAACGGGTGTTCCACGCCTGTGACCTTGAGGTTTCGAGTCGAGAAACGAGACGCGCACACCCAGATCTTAATGCCGGTCGATGGCTGGGCAGCTAGCATCAGGGTGGAGCAAGCCAGAGGCCATGTGACCAAGCTAAACACATAGCAACGGGTGTTCCACGCCTGTGACCTTGAGGTTTCGAGTCGAGAAACGAGACGCGCACACCCAGATCTTAATGCCGGTCGATGGCTGGGCAGCTAGCATCAGGGTGGAGCAAGCCAGAGGCCATGTGACCAAGCTAAACACATAGCAACGGGTGTTCCACGCCTGTGACCTTGAGGTTTCGAGTCGAGAAACGAGACGCGCACACCCGGATCTTAATGCCGGTCGATGGCTGGGCAGCTAGCATCAGGGTGGAGCAAGCCAGAGGCCATGTGACCAAGCTAAACACATAGCAACGGGTGTTCCACGCCTGTGACCTTGAGGTTTCGAGTCGAGAAACGAGACGCGCACACCCAGATCTTAATGCCGGTCGATGGCTGGGCAGCTAGCATCAGGGTGGAGCAAGCCAGAGGCCATGTGACCAAGCTAAACACATAGCAACGGGTGTTCCACGCCTGTGACCTTGAGGTTTCGAGTCGAGAAACGAGACGCGCACACCCAGATCTTAATGCCGGTCGATGGCTGGGCAGCTAGCATCAGGGTGGAGCAAGCCAGAGGCCATGTGACCAAGCTAAACACATAGCAACGGGTGTTCCACGCCTGTGACCTTGAGGTTTCGAGTCGAGAAACGAGACGCGCACACCCGGATCTTAATGCCGGTCGATGGCTGGGCAGCTAGCATCAGGGTGGAGCAAGCCAGAGGCCATGTGACCAAGCTAAACACATAGCAACGGGTGTTCCACGCCTGTGACCTTGAGGTTTCGAGTCGAGAAACGAGACGCGCACACCCAGATCTTAATGCCGGTCGATGGCTGGGCAGCTAGCATCAGGGTGGAGCAAGCCAGAGGCCATGTGACCAAGCTAAACACATAGCAACGGGTGTTCCACGCCTGTGACCTTGAGGTTTCGAGTCGAGAAACGAGACGCGCACACCCAGATCTTAATGCCGGTCGATGGCTGGGCAGCTAGCATCAGGGTGGAGCAAGCCAGAGGCCATGTGACCAAGCTAAACACATAGCAACGGGTGTTCCACGCCTGTGACCTTGAGGTTTCGAGTCGAGAAACGAGACGCGCACACCCAGATCTTAATGCCGGCCGATGGCTGGGCAGCTAGCATCAGGGTGGAGCAAGCCAGAGGCCATGTGACCAAGCTAAACACATAGCAACGGGTGTTCCACGCCTGTGACCTTGAGGTTTCGAGTCGAGAAACGAGACGCGCACACCCAGATCTTAATGCCGGTCGATGGCTGGGCAGCTAGCATCAGGGTGGAGCAAGCCAGAGGCCATGTGACCAAGCTAAACACATAGCAACGGGTGTTCCACGCCTGTGACCTTGAGGTTTCGAGTCGAGAAACGAGACGCGCACACCCGGATCTTAATGCCGGTCGATGGCTGGGCAGCTAGCATCAGGGTGGAGCAAGCCAGAGGCCATGTGACCAAGCTAAACACATAGCAACGGGTGTTCCACGCCTGTGACCTTGAGGTTTCGAGTCGAGAAACGAGACGCGCACACCCAGATCTTAATGCCGGTCGATGGCTGGGCAGCTAGCATCAGGGTGGAGCAAGCCATATATGATATGACTGTATTATTGAAACATCTTCGTTGAGCTTTGAACTCTATCGTTTTGATATGCTGTGGTTTAATTCCATTTTTTTAAGACTACATTCTTCCATACTCCGTTAACTCATTTGTCTTAAGATAACGTCGTCGGCATGACAAAACTGTCTACGGTATATTCCCTCTATATTCGCTAACCCATTTCTAGATTTAATCTTACAACATGCAACCTCATATGTGCCACTCATATGAGCCTCCGGTATGGTTGATTGTATGCGAAAGTGATCCTCAACGTATAATATTATACTTTCCCCTTTGCGACTTGAAGCTTTATGACTCCTAATACAGATATAGCCTGCAATGATGGGAGAACAGTCTATATCTACGGTGAACCAAGTTTCTGTCACAACGATTATATCGGGCATAATTCTTCCACCATCAGACAGCTCAGATGTTTTATTTCTAAGACTACGAGCGTTCGTGTAGCACACACTTAAGTTGTTTTGGCAATCAATTGTTCTACTCATAGTGGCCTCCGAAGCATTGGCTTACAAGACCTGACTACCCGAAAACCCTTAATAGTAAGGTTATTCTCGCCATTTGATTTGCGATTCCTCAACTCCGTAACAGCATTCTTCCACTTGATTCAATCCTCAAGTGGCCAATGTGGTCGAATAAAAATATTCGAGTCACGAGTTTTTAGTGCGTTTTTCAATAACATGTCTCTTCCTTCAAAACTCACGAGAACCAGCTTCAGGATTCTTCTTGGTTGAATCTCGCCTCCAACCCATTCACCAACTCATGTATGTACCCCTGAAACATGTCCAGGTAGTACATTACTTACCACAGACTCTACTAACTGCAGGTCATGTGCATGTCTTCTGGCAGGGTCGTTTTCTTTCGACTCTTCTAGATTACAAATAATAAAACTAGGGAGGGGTTTAGCTGCTTTTGAAACTGTGTTCACAGCTTTCGACCGTGACGTTAGATCCTGTATTTTAACTACTGGTATCGTACGATTAGTTTTTATTGTAACAGAGTCTTGGGAGTCGAGCGAGTGACTCAAAACAATGTTAGACGAAGCTTTACTATGGGACTTTGGCGGATTGGTCTGAGAGTCCACCGAGGAATTATCAAGTTAACAGTCATTAGTTTTAGCTGTCTTTCCTACTCTCCTGCGTTTTCGCGTCATCCATTTTTCATCAGTCGAAACGTCTACATTAGAACAACTTGGGACAGTAATTGTCTTATCTGGATCACTAGTCGCAGCTGTAGCAATATGGCCACCAACGTCTAATGAGGTGTCACTCACTGATCGTTTGGGGGGAGAACGTTTAACTGCGGGTTGCACAAGTAGATGTCTGGCTTGCGCCGTGGTAGCACTTACGACACTAACACAATCTTTGTACCAATGTTACCACTATGGCACTCATCAACCTTCTTATTATCCAACATCAGGAGGCTAACTGCTTCCTGGATGAGTAATGTTTTGCTCGAGCAACAAAAACTACAAAGCCAATGAGAGTTGGACTTTGAGCACCATTTATATGCAGTGGGGCTTAATCGGGTGCACATCTTATGGAACCACTTATTACACTCATCACACTGCATTCCTTCCTCCACGGGAAATAAGCAATATGGTTGTCCACATTTAAGAGCAGATCTGGCCATCTTGAAAATCAACTAGAATGGTGACAAAAAACAGGATATGCAAAAGGATTCTCAAACCTTAACTAAATAAATCAAGTAAAAGTCGACTAAGTATGCTTCGATGCAATAAATACACAAAAGCAAAATCGAAACCCTCAATACACTATCACTTTAACTGGGGTAGATGCAATTAAAGTGTAGACAGTAGGTTTGATGCGTAATTTACGATCAAAACAGTTAACTAACTCAACGAGAAACAATACCACTGTCCTTTTTAAATAGAGCCGAAATATATACGTTGTTTCTGGCACAATGTTCTTCCTCTTCATGTATTCACTGATCCTGATCTGTATGCTGTTGTTTTCGATCTCTCCGGGTTCCAAATAGGCAACGACAATACGTGTGGTGAGACTATTATTTATGGTTGGCTTTTAGAGACGCTGAAGTGATCGTGAGAATGGGCGACCACTGACTAATACTAAATGGGGGTTAGAAACCAGTTAAAATTATGATTTACAGTTGATGATTGGGCTGAAAATTAGGTTTAGGGTTTTCATCACGAACTGATATTAGCCATAATGCCGGAACGCTATTTTGCCAAATGTATGGATGAATTCCGCACCAAAATTTAGTAGTCGTTATCTTATATCTGATTGGTTCGTCCATAAATTATTGTTTCGCCCCACGACCTTTTAAACATTGGTGTCGAAGGCAAATTTGCCATATTCCAGAAAATAATCAAAATCTAAGTGATTATTCTGGAAGCTGTAACAAATGCTACATAGCACACGCAGTGACTGAAAATTTGTTAACAACGACCCGTTGTCATTTATTTAAAGTTGTACTGAATGGCTCACTGTAATTCCAACTATCAATTAATTGGCCGTTTAAATGATAATTTACTTGCTCGTGTTCTGTATACTTACTCAATTTTCCAACTATCTTTTTAATCAACTACTGGCAATTTAAACACAGTCACCTTGATAAAAATACCGTTTTTTGAGTCCGGAGGTAACTGACTGGTGGTGTCGTTTGTTTGCTATTTGTGCACTAATTGAATGTCGTAATCTTGCAGTACATGTAATCCTACAAGTAGGGATGCAGTCAATTAACTTTTTGTTGAAAACAAAACTGCCTATCTAACTTACCATGAATTTCTTGGTGTAAATGAAAGGGTGGACATGTCCACCCGAGCTCCCAATTTTGGGGAAGCCGCCATAATAAACTTTGGGAAAATGGCACAAGCTCCCCAAGTTTTCACAGACCTGGGACGTACTTGCAAGTACGTCTCGTTTCCTTCATATGAATTCATCTCCCAGACAACCAAAAAGGGGGAATAAAGGGGTAAATGCTTTGGTAGCAAAAGGGAAAACGCATCAAAATGTCACCTTTTTCGTCTGTTCGGGGGAAATAATGCGGATTTCCCTCTTTTTCGCCGTTTTGTCGATAAATTACTCACTTTTCACCTAAATATCCACCGAATTTTCGAAATTTCGCCTAAATATCCGCCAAATTACCCACTTTTTGCCTAAATTTCCACGGAATTGCCCACTTATACGCTTAATTGTCTGCTTTTCGCCTAAACACACACAGAATTCCCTATTTTCGATCCATTGACATAACCCCAAAGGTCTCCTATGTTCGTCTTTATTTCCAACAACAGACCGAAATAAAACTGCAATGCACTGGAAAACGGGTATATTTAAAAAAAATTTATTTAAGAGGAAAATCGTATTATTGTACAACATTAGAACAGAAGCTTGAGCATTAATCGTTTTGTATATCCATTGTAATTGCCAATTCATTGTTATTTGAAAAGATCTACAAAAGATGAAACAGGTGATGTATTATTTATAAGGCATTTGCATCTAATCTAAAGTTAACTGACACTCAAACACACATTCTCAACATTTCTATAGTTTCCCAAGTAATAAAGCAAGGTCTTTGACAAAATAATGTTAATTAAAAGGTAGGTAGATCATCAAAAAAATTGCATGGATTATTCCCTTCAGCCACATACCTTCGCCTATTGAGAATTGAAATAGTCGTCCTGTGGATTAATAAGTTTAAAAAACAGAAAAAGTCACAACAACATCTGAATATCATGTCTTGGCACAGCCAAATACTTTAAGCTAAACTTACGGTTAACCTCATCAAATACTAATATTGACATAAAATGTTTTTGATGGTAGTTCAAAATGCTAATTGATCCTTGAGGATTATTTTCATATGAGCGCATAGTAATATTTACCTGAGCAAAGTTTCTTTTATAGTCCAGATAGCTTGTACTCATTTCAGTGAATGATCAGTTACAAAATGCTGATTTAATTGTTTTTTTATTTCTGTGCGGTACAGATCAAGTATGGTCCGATATTGGAAGCATCGTGGTGCAAAAATACTCAAAAACATAGAACCGCATATCCAGAAATATTTTCCTTATCACAAGCCTGAGCTTGGAGGAACTTCCCCTCAGCATGCTAGTATAACGGGGAAAAAAGCAAAAGTACCTTTCGATTATGCGATTGGGCAGATAGTGCCGTTTTCACAAAGCTTAACATCATCATTCCCAAATATTGTTAAGGTCCGCTTGCACAAGCTTTGCTTGAATCGTTTCCTGATGAAGGTAATTTGCTATCGTGATGTTATCGATTTATAAATGCGACCTACAGTATTTCTATCAAACAGCAACATACTGGGTTCATACACAAGGCTCTTCGGTCAACATTGGAGATATCGTGCTTATTGAAAAGTCTGACCCACCAATGGCATTCAATACCATGTACAAACTAAAGAAAGTCGAGTTCCCGGTTGGTAATCTGATTGATCCTGTCACAGGACTACAATCCGAAGGTCCCGAGTATTCCATTGAAGCACTGAGGTCTATTCTCAATCGAGAGAACAATACATTGAAAAGTGTTGAAAACTAAATGCATTTCTACTTTATTTTGAGATAAATATTTACTTTTTTCAATATAGGGTTAAAGTGTAGCAACGTATTGACTCTTATTAAAGTACAACACTCCTTATGTTTTAGTAGTATAATTTTACAGAAATAGTGGCAAGAGGCTCATGACCATCCATTAGAGAATATAATTTCTGTTTTATCGTGTAGGCAGGAATTAAACCAAAATATTGAAAGTCAAGTAATTTCATAATCTCTTGATGTTCATTTCATACTGGGAGCCTTTTACATAGTTTTTTATATATTGTCAAAGTGTTTGTGTTTATTCTTGCTTTTATCTGTCTTACAAACAATAAACACTAAACATTTTGCGACCCTAATTTTCATACTCAGTTGTTTAACAGTAATCTGGACTTTCGTGCTGTATTTTATTTGTGAGTCTATTAGGTACAGTATGGCTAAAGTTAAGCACTTAACAATGCTGTTAGGGTAAGAACTTATAAGAATAAGTTTTAGTAGTTATTTGCATGTCATTCAAGCGACTTCAGGGAACTATTTGTTGACTCTTAGTTCCATGGTACTTTTGATGTAGCTCCTCCCTAATAATAAGTTCAAAATTAACGCTTATCACCGATACCCACTTCCATGCTTTTACAGTATGGCTCTTCATACTTAATATTACTTAAGCACCATCCTCAAGGACTGATGTGGTTAGCTTGAAGCACGCCGACAATTTTTTCACTTATTGCGGTTTTAACATTCGGCAGAAACTCCATGTTGACTTACCGCACAAAGCTATGATGTTCTAAGCGATGATTTGAAATAATATCAATACCTGTATTAGGTCAACTCACTGCAAGAGCCTGTTTGGAGTACACAATCTGTAAAGACACTATTAACGACTGCTTAAATAAGAATCAGATATCAGTTACTCTAACTCGGTGTTGTTATTGACATTTTCGAATGTCATATGAAGGTATTCAGCTTGTATTAACAAATTCGAATTCTTAATACTACTGCAACGGTAGCCACAAAAATATTGACAAGTGATAAAAAGAGTATTAGTAGTATGTGCAGGGAGTCTTTTAAGAAAGTTCCTTTGGTAAATTTCGAAAGTGTAATAAGAAGACAAAGATTATTAAAGCTATGTGATATATTAGCGCGACACTTCAAACAATCAGATCACACATATACTTGTTAAGAATATTAGTATATAAAAATAAAAAGTCAACTAGACAAGAAATAGAAGGTAAGAGAAGACAAGAATAATAAGGAAATGATGTGAAAACAATTTGAAACCTCAGCACTCTGGATAATAAGCTAATACTACCAGGGTAGGTTTGAGGTGAGAACAAACCACTTTTGAATACATAAAGAATGTTAGAAGTATATCTAGGAAGGGAAGCTGGCTGTTCTTCTCTTAGTTGCATGAGACTGATATGACTTTGGAGTGTTTATTCAATAAACAATTCATATCCTCCTTTCATAGATATAGGCATGCTTATCGGCGTCCGACAGTGGTGGTCTTTCCTGACTTAAAAGCAGCATTTGACTCTATAGGCCGAGATCTTCTGTGGCAGTGTCTGTCATTGAAAGTGTACCTCGGAAATACATAGACCTTGTGAAGGCTCTTTACTTCAACACTACCCGTCGAGTCAGAGCTTATCGAGAACTGTCATCTGATTTTGCAACCCCACGTGGTGTCCAACAAGACTGTCCACTATCTCCCTCTCTGTTTAATTTCATCATAGACTTACAGCTGGGAGTCATGTTCTCATCGACTGGATTTTTAGGAATCGATCTTCTAGGATGTCCACTTATCGACTTAGAATACGCAGATGACATAGTCCTATTTGTTGAAGACACTGATAAATGCAGTCTTTTGGTAGCAGTAAGCAAGTTGTTGCTTCATGACCGGCCTGCGTCAACACATGAACTAAGGATAGGGAGTGAAGCAGTCGAATGCGCCAACAACTAATCTTGAAAGTCTGATCAGCCCTAATGGGTTGGTATCTGACAAAATCTTTCCACGGATTCAGAAGGCTCGTTTGGTTTTTGCCAACTTACATGATTTATGGAGAAAGCGAGATATGTCTATCAATAAAAGGACGAGCATACTGCGCGGCAGTTCGTTCTGTTTTACTTTACGGTTAGGAACTGGTCATTAATGGTAGAGGATGCTCGTCAGTTACTAGTACTTGACCACAAATGTTCTGGAAATACTGCTCGCATCTGCTGGGATCACCGCGTAAGTAAAAATGAGGTTAGACACAAGGTATTATGGTTAATCCGCTGATGAGGTTGTGAATCTTCATCGACTGAGATGGTTGAGCCACATCTCATGTATTACCACGACACACAATGTTGACCAGTGTTGGAGACATATGAATGCAAGTTAGGGGTAGACAAACCAAAATGTGGCACCAGTCCATAAAGTCACCAAATCTTGGTGTGAGCCATATTGGTATATGCAGACTACTTGATTGGGTTTCGCGCGACTATCGTAACCAATAGTTGGAGACTTTGAGTGACAATGGTATAGGTGTATGTAATTTCTGTCTTCCCTTAAACCGTGAAATTAAAATTACTTTATAACTAATTCTTTCTTTCCGTATTATATTCTTATATGCAATCTTTCTTCCATATATTACTACCACTGAAGTAACTACTTATATAAATTTGATGTTCGTCGAGTTGTGCTAATGAGGTATGGCAAATTGGACCGATGCATATATGTGCCTGGTCCTACGTTGTAGCTGACTGACTGATAAGGAGGGAAGTGTACATAATTTCCCCCTAAATTCATCACAATAAACTAGCCGATAAATTTTTGAAGCGTTCATGTAACTTTGAAAACTGAACATCCAAACAGAAATGAAGAGGTCAATAAAGTTATACGAAAAAGTTAGAATCCCAATAATCTCAATGCACCCAAGCCTTTTTACTTGGGTTGTGAGGTCGCGATACGTAACTTCTGACCTACAAGACAGTATCGAAACAAGTAAGAGGGTCAGTAATATACTAAACGTTTTACAGCGGTGACGAGGTTGTAGATACAGATTATTCAGCTTTTAAAATACGTGGCTTGATAGATATCAATGGACTTCGAACCAAAACAGCATTATGACATTTCGTCTATAGTCAGAAACTGGATAAATTCGTTAACAGCACCTCAATCTGTTCGAAATAGATGTAAGAGATGACATGACTGGGGTAATACGAATGAAAAATTATTAAATTCTAAACACAGTATATATTGAAAACAGACTTCGATAGACGTCTGAATAACTAAGTTTCTGGTTGATTGTAGAGGATAAGGAACACAATAAATTAACAAGATTTTAAAACTTTGGAAATTTTATTCCGCCTTTCGATGCTTGTCTTTATAGATACAAGCCTTTTTGATAGTTCCATCCTTAGCTTATTCAACTGGACCGTAAAATTCCGGTACGAATAGCTGTTTATCAACCCAAATCCAACGGAGGAAGCAATTTAATAAAAGCACTAACGGATAACCAATAGAAGGGATTTACTTGATAACAAATGTAACGATATTTGCTTGCTTTGTTCCGGAAAAATGATTTTGAATTAGTATTTGTTAGACTGCCAGCAAGCGTCTGAGAGACGAGGTCCGTAGTTCAAAGTAACGATGTCAATTGATACATGAGAATAACTCATAGATTATAGAGATGAGAACAAAGGAACACATTATTCAAAGTGCAGTCGAGTGGTCAGATCTGTTAACTTCTTCCTAAATGCAAAGTTTTTGCAGGATTCGGACTGTTTTTATCTTTTAGAAGTATGAAATCCGTGTATGTACGTTATGAAATAATGAACCAGTAAACACAAAGAATTCGCCATAAACATAATATTACTAACGAAAATTATGTTTTACAACATGTGTACGACGGTCTATAAGATTACCACCCGCAAGAGTAGTTGTGCGACACGATGCAAATAATAAACTAAAGAGTTTGGGGGATGGATATGCTGGTACAAGCAATATAAATATTCATAAACAGACCGGTCTTAGACAAGATAATTGTTACTTGTAGAAGTAGGAGTCCGATGAGAACACAATGTTTTGCGGGTCTGACTGCAACTGTTGTGATTTTAATTGTTTATCAAGTGCACATACAAAATCGGTAGCTAGTTTTCTGACACGGTGCAAATAAGATTAGTTCCAAATCAAAAGTGCTCCGAAATCCATCACTCCAGTACTAACCTTCCACTTATTTAGATGTGATCGCTTCATTGGACTGGCACAAACGATCCCTTGACATCAGTCTGACAAACGAATCGCTGATTTTATGAGGACTTATATGTCATGTAACTGCCATAAAGTTAAAATTTGTGTAGATTTAACCTCATACACGACTTGTACATTCAGTGGTCAAGACATTAAGGTCTTCAGTCCTAATTAAATTCATAATACAAAGGTCTATATCACGATGTGATTTACTAGTCAAGTTCAATACTTCGTGCTAGTTTTTAAAAATGGATCTGTAAAATGTATGCACGCACTTAATAAAAGGAAAGTTATTTGCTGCTACGTAATTCATTAATAACTACCCATCTAACAAAGGTCAACAGACAAAATCTTTCAGAATAGAAATATACTGTATATTGTTTCTTACGCTTCAATATTAAACTAAGTAGAACCTAGCCCATCAAATTAATGACACTGATTACTAATTGTGACCTTCCTATCCTATTTAGACATTGTATAGTATTGAGAGTTTCTCAGTGAGTAAATTGAACATGTGTAATGTTCAAAGACGCCCAAGAACGTCGAGCAAATGAAAAAAGCCAAGTGTCCAACCCTTTGTGAACTTTCAACGGCTGCAATCCACAAAATACTCCAAAATCGAACTTCTAGACTTGAAGCACAATTATCTTCAAATAATTAACTTGTTTCCACAAAGTTGACAGCTAGAAGCAATCACCGAACGGTGGGGAAACCTGTCAATCTTAACAACACTCACTTGGTGTTAGGAGACAAGAAATGCATTAATTAATCCGGAACATGATTGCTGTCGAAATCCCCATCACATTTGTGAATTTCAACATTACCAAAACTGAGACCACTGACGATTTTAGTGTTTCCGATGTCATTACGATTATTTGCGGTCGGATAACCCTATAAATAACTGCAGCACCGTCAGATATAGGCACATAAATTGGTTTACTCACATATATTCCAATAGTAAATCAGGTACAGCATAGCACCGCAAAATATGGTGCTTCATTAGACATGACACTTTAGTAACAGCTTTGTAATATTTAAACCATACTAGAGGAACCTGGAATACGTGTAGTGAAGGTGGGGTGTAATATTTATTAGCCAACACCGTTTGTGGGAAGGAATAATAACAGATATTGGCTATTCCTGAAACCATAATACTTCCGTCACGTCTTATTAGCCGGAAGGACGATTTTTGTCTAAGATGTCGTAATGCGTCATGTTTTTCAGCGACAACAAACCATACACGACGTCTCTTCCTTACTTTGGACTGCCCACCGAAATAGATAGCGTTGGCAGAACTGTGAATCACTTTGACTTTCTAATTATAGAATTTTCTGCTAAAAAACGTAACGCCGTGACACTTGTGAGGACTGGATCTTCACCGAACAGAACGCGAGCACAACTACAGCTTACTAGCTTGTCGCAGAAGACAGTAAATTCAAGGAGGACTTGGTCATAATTTTGATGTGCCACTAACTCAAGATTATAGCATCTACAAATTCCGTCTGTCTAAGAATGGTCAACGAATCACGAATCATTTTGTTACTTAAAGATATCCGAAACACTTTTACCATTTGCTAGAACTGACAATAAAGACCCGAGAAATGAAATTTAACATGTTATTATTGGAAAGTTATGTACAAATAGTCGCTTCATACAAAGCAGTTGAGGGTGGGAATCAATCTTGAGGCATGGAGCGAGCGAGACACCAAACCCAAGTGGAAAGACAGTGGTACCAAGACTAATTTCGAACTTTTTTCTTTCCTTTAAATGTCGCCTGATGAGTAGTCGAGTTGAAGGAAAGAAAGGGATGAACAGTTAAATAACATTAAAAAACTCAATCTCTGAATAACTACTGATTAGAATCTAGAACTAAAATGGGTGATGCATAATGATGATCACTAGATATAACATCCTTATCAACACTGTCTACGGTTGTATTTGACAAGAGGTCGCAATAACTAGTGTTCGACACAGTTAAATTACATACGCTGATGAATTCACTATCTTCATCCCAATCAAAGCTGATTGAACACGTAGGCTCTATGGCAGACCAACAATTATGGGAATTTTGTGAAGAACGCATAGCTTTCCAAGTACTTAAAGCCTTACACAATAAGTGGCGGTTAAGTAACTTGCCTGGGCTATGTCGTTCAAACTTTTCAAGCTTTCGCCTCCCAACGTGGACCAAACGTTTGAGCAATTGGTGACACTGAAATACAATAAGGGTAAACACAAAGTACTACATGTACCTGAAAGCGGGAACAATGCAATTCAGGGACCATGGCTACAACCGAATTCAAAAGATTTGAGCCGCGGTAATATTTAACAGTAAGTTAAGCGGAAAAACACACACTTGTAAATCTCAATTGAAAAATACTATAACATCGTCTGTAGATAAGTTCTGATGTGTGAATACATCAAATCTTATACTTAATGTGATGTCACACGAAACGAAAATGAAGTATAATTTTTGCTCGTTGGTTGAACCTTTTACTATCAGAAGGGGTTTTGTGGAGATTGTAGTAATTTCAACAGTGGAGATCATGGGCCGATTAAAGCTAGAGCCCCATGAAAAACTTGGAAGCACTGGACGGCCGTTTCGTCCTATTGTATGACTCCTCAACGGTGCGCCTCCACGACCACACCTCGCGGGATTCGAACCCAGGACCTATCAGTCTCACGCAAGGCCCTTAACCAACTGGACTATTGAGCCGGCATCAATCGTGTTAATGTCTAACTTCAACTAATTCCCGAAATTGAGCGACACATCTACCATTGTCATCAGTCAGTTACTAACTCATAACTGACCCGTCCAGTGATTCCAGGTTTTCCATGGTGGTCTAGCTTCAATTGATTCATGATCTCAACTGTTCAAATAAACCTTTTACATTTGATTGCATCCCAAGATGAGAAAGTTGTATTCGTATTTATCGAAAATGGATTTTTTGGTTACAGTAACACACAAATCTCAACTCATTGTGTTCATTACTAATGCTAGAGATGATTTTCTTGTTTTCTCTGTGAGATCATTTAAAATGTTAATGGTGGGGGTAGAAAATCCTTGTCATGGACACGCTTGTTTTTTTCCGTCGAAGATGGAACACATTACAACAACTGCAACAAGTGGTATCGCAACGTGTGTGCCGGACTCACATCATCTGCATATAAAAGGTGATGAAAGGCACTATCGTGTTGATTATGCAAAGCATGCCGCTCTACCGATTCGTGAGGTAACTGGGCCGTTAAACACAGCTTGAAAGTTGCATTAAGATAAAAAGCTAGCAGTATGTGAACAGCTTCCAGTTTCCGAGGAAGCAGTGAACTTTATCATGAGTCATGCTTTGAATTTGGACGAAACCATCTAAGTGATGGACAACAAACACACAAACGTAATGATAGTTAAGAAAAAAGAGAAAATCTACGCTGAAAAGAAATAAATAATAGGGAGTCCTAAGTTATACATATCGAAGGTTTCTGCTCCTGAGTTACATATCAACGCACAAGTCTGAGTGGTGTAAATGATGTGATCAATGAACATATTAAATCCAATAATAGATTCGCGGTTACACAATGATTAAGAAAACATAGTGAGACCTTCGCGTGTGACAACAAATCGGACTTCACGAACGAGCAGATTCCAGGAAACAAAACTCCACATCAGGTCAGAGAGGATCTCACTGAGGGGTCAGTCATTTTTTTAAGAGAATATCTCGAAGAGGAACTAAAGATTAGAATTAAACACAACCTAAGACAAATTAAGTTCCTATTTAGCAAGCTACCTCCAGAAACAGAAGCGGAAATTAGCATCTATTAGCTTAATAGAATAGGACAAAACGCGGTTTCTGAAAGTACTCAGAAAAGTTTAATACTGCAAAAGTCCTAGCCTCATTATGCTTGTAGCTCTCAAATGATAGACAACGATCAGGATAAATCATAGGCTAAGGCAACTTATTTCGGGATAGTTTCTACTAAGGAGTCTCTCCTAGACGAACATCTAAACACAAATACAAAGTAAAAAACTCGTTCGCTCACCGAGAACTTCGATCGAATCGGTGTACTTAGGCCATGCTATCCTACTGGATTGAACTGATCTTTCCAAGTAATTATAGCCCGGTATTAAAAGTCGTGTGGTTAGGGTTCAATGCCACTACACTACTCTCACACCAGAATCAACGTGACATTAGTAAGATACGGAATTGAATGGGATTGTCGCTGGCCGGAGGTTACTAAGAATGATAAGAATCATCCGGGTATGGATACGCTGAAAGATAAGTCAGAAAATGGTGGCATCAACTGATTGAGAAATACGTGTTATAATCCCGTTTTTGGGGTTTACTTATTGACACGCACAAAATGAAAAACTGAGTGAAGTCCGCCCAGCTTATGCAGCAAGAGAAATTGAATTGAAAAGGTTACGCTGAAAGGGAAGAAAGCATTATAATCAAGTTGTGGCCAAAAGGTGACGTTATACGAGCCTGCATCTGCCTAAAGTGGAGTCAATGTTTCTCATGTAAATGACTGAATAACAATAATATCTAAATCTTTAGACCTACCAAAGCGAGGTTTCATAAGGTTTGATGGTAATTCAATGAACTGTTGCAGTTTGATACGGAATTTTGAAGACTGTTTTGTTGAAAGAGTTGGATTCCAACCTGGGTCAATCAAACTGATTCATTATTGCGGCAGTAAAGCCAGGACTATTGTTCATTACGCTTTGCTATACACAGAAGAAGGTTGTCGTAAGCGGCTAATTCAACAAGGACTACGTAAAGTATTTTTGAATATCCCACTACACTTACAAAAAGAATGGGTGAAGGTGGCGTATAAACTCTTAAGACGGGTATGGAGCCTTTGTTTAAGTATCTATGTGAATTTGTGAAAGAGCATCTGCATATTGCTAATACGAGATACGGATTACTTGTTAATGGAGATCCTTCTAATAGCAACCAAAGGCAGTCATCTGTTGTTACTGACAAAAACTGAGGTCAGAGCATGGGGTGAGAGTACCGTTTGTCAGCAGCCTGATGTCTCTCCACACGTAAGGTCAAGCACTCTTGAGTCGCTATTTTTATCGTGCACTAAAAACCAACCCTTAGACCAATGTGAAAGTTTTAAAGATAGAGATTATTATAAGAGGTTAGGAGTTGTACTGAAGTTTGATGTAACGTCTGTCTGAAGGCGAACCTAATAGCAAGAAACTTTCAAGCGCCGACGTCACGTGTCATCGAATAATGTGGCTGTAGGCATCATACCGTGTAGCACTGTAAGCATGAAGAACAGAGAGTCAGTAATATAAATGTCCACATTAACACCCGACTGTCTACTGAGGAAAGTGCTAAACGTAAATGAAGAGAAGATAGTTGACTCTAAACCCACGTTTTTAAACCAAAAAACTAAAGCAGTATCTGATAATAATCCCAAACCAACTCTAAGAAAGCTTGAGGTAAAAATGGTCACCAAACCGAAAGTCAAGACACTGAAAAAGCCGAAAGGCCACCGTAAATAATAAGCCGTGAGACAAGGCGGCGCGTATTCGCTGTGGTGTCGTAAATGATATTGAGAATGGCGCATTTGTAGGAGCTTGCAATAAGGACGCACCTGGCAGCTTCAAAAGAGCCGACGCTAGTCTCAGACAAATTGTGTCTGTGGTTCGGACCGGAATAATATAGCAAATGCTTTCTTAGTAAGAGGTCATGAATAGCGCTTTAACTTCCCTAGAGCTAGTCATCTAGCCGGTGCATGAGCGCCCACCATAAAGTGACTAAGAATAATCATACGATCACGACTGTTTCAAGTACCGACGAACGAGTCTTGAAAGACGTTTTTAATAGAGGTTGGAGAAATAATGCAAAATTGGTCACTCATGAAATTAGTTAATGACAGCAGCAGCTTCATCAGTCGTCAGTTTCAACATGCACAAAGAGAAAAAGATTTTTCGATACAACACAGCATGCAACAATCAAATCGCACTTGACGAAGAGTTGGAAGGTGTAAACACCTCAACATATCTAGGCAGCAACACTGATGATCAAGGGTGGACCTGATGCAGATGTGATGGTGTGGATCGACGAATAAAGAGCAGCATATTTACGACTAGAGAACACCTGTAACTCAAAACAAATATCAACCAACACTAAAGTCAAAATTTTCAATACAAAAGTTAAAACAGTTTTACTGTATAGGGCAGAAACTTGCAGAAATACGATAGCCATCATCCAGAAGATACAAGTGTGTATTAATAGTTTTTCACTCAAACTACTTCGGATCCGTTGGTCAGACACTATCAACAACAACAACAACCTACTGTGAGACAGAACAAACCAGATTCCAGTGTAGGAAACCAGGATGAAGCGATGGAATTGCATAGGACACACATTGAGGAGAGCACCCAACTGTGTCACACGGATTTCTCAAAGTTAGCGTAGAAGAGGAAGACGAAAGAACAGATTACGTCGAGAAGTGGAGACAGACATGGGAAGAGTGAACAACAATTAGATAGAACTAGAAAGAAAGTCCCAGGACAGGGTGGGTTGGAGAATGCTGGTCGGTAGCCTATGCTCAATTGCGAGTAACAGGCGTGAGTAAGTAAGAAAAATTATTAGTATCGATTGAAATCGTAATTTATGCGTACTAATCGACATAAGAATAGGATAAAACTCGTGAGCACTAGTCAGAGGACTAAAGGAATAATAGGTTGACATGAATAAATTAGATCGAGAAAGTTCAAGTTAAAACGGGGATTAATAATAGAGCTGTATCTTTTGTTGGACTTACAAATGACTAATTACGGTCTAAGTTTATTATTATTTCTGCTTTAATAATAGCCCTAATCCTAATCCGTTGGGCTTTCTGTCCTTACTACACAAATGTAAATCTGAAATTTAATGGGGCTTTTGCATCGGTTAATAATTCCCCGGCCAAATCAAAATTCAACTAATTATGCTCAACGTTGTTACGTCAAATTAGTGTAACGCAGATTAGAATAATAGTTATGTTTACATTTATCTAATCAATTGATTTGACATAATATGATGTAATTTTTATTAAAATAGACTATTTTGTAGATTTTACTATGGTTCGCCGTGCTCGATTTGAGTTGAATTAGACGATTTTAAATATTCTTCTTAAGCAAGCCGATTTGACTACTTTTACATATTTTAAATGTCAAACATTCGTAGCATACACCTGAATTCAGACCCCAAAGTACTAGAACTTCTCTCTTTTGTGCATACTTTGGAAGTTTCTGTTGAGTAAATTGAGAGATTTTGGAATAAATTCAACTGTTAAAAATTTTTTTCTGTTTTAAAAACGTAAAGCT